TCCGGATTTCATTCCAACCGGTACGGTTCGAACATCCCTGGCGTCACCCACATGCCTGCGTGCGGTGCACGCATGTGTTGTAGCTTTAAATAACACTCCCGCAAGCTTCTGTAATGCTCCAGCTGCTCAGTGGAGCATTGTGCAGGCTCTGTTTGAGCCGTGCATGGAAGCGCTGACAGCTTTAAACTACGGTAAGGAGCGCAGGCGGGCAGGCCCTCCGGAGCATGGTACTGGAATGATACCCAGTGCTCCGGGCAGGGTCCGGTACGCCCGTACTAGGGCGTACCACCTGCAACCCACCACTTTTCTCAATTGACAATTAGGACTAAAAAATGTGTTGTTAAGCAGTGCAATAGTTAAGTGAGTCATGATTGAACCAGATTTTGCGACCTTTTTTGCTACAGTTATTAAGCAAATTGTCACAGTTGTTGAGTGAGACATCGCAGCTCCTCATTGACTGCATGTTGCAAAACATCTGGAAAGCTCACAAATCGCAATCATGTGAGCACAGAACTATAGTAAATGTGGGCCAGTTGTCAAGTGCTAGAATCACGACTATGTGAACGTGGAAGTGATGCAGTAGTCGTAATTTTGAGGATGAGTCTCATAAGTCACTCAATGCACTAAAGTATTCATATTACCTTATAGTTTATTGTGTCTTGTTTGAGGGCTTCCTTATGTTTGAGCTTGCATGTGCATGTGCTCAGAAGATCACCACAGGATTTTAAGTTGTACTTTTGAGAACCATGACTAATTCAACGCTGTGAAGATTAAGAGTTGTGGTTTGCACAGCCCTACTTGATATAGAATTCCAACTTTGTATACATATCTTGCCTGTTAGAGTTATGCTTTGTGTTCTAATTCTTTGTGCTATTTTATTCCTTTTTGGTTTCTTTCTGCATATTCTGCAGAATATCATGGATATGGCATGTTCTCCCAACCTGGTGTTTTCCAGATACGCTGAGCTTCAATTTATCGGGATTTAAAATTTAATCTACTTGAGGGATGTGACATTGGGGTAGATTGCTTTAGATAGTAACTTTATTTTGTATGCTCAAGTACATTCATTTTGCAATTCTGCTTTTCCTTCTATTGCATATGTTCATCTTATTGTTAACTTCACCCATCATTCTTTTCCTCTCGTTCTTTCTTAGTAAAACAATACTATCTTTTAAAAGTTGTCCTTGATCCATTTTATCAGAGTTCCAATTGGTAATTATAAGAGAGTTTATTATAGGAAAGCATTTCTTTTGTAGGCTATAGTACTGTACTTGCACTGATTAAGCTTTTGTGATTTTGACAAGAAATGCATATGCGAAGTCTTTGAATTCACAAGTTCTCTGTTATAGAAGCCGACAGATCAGATGTCACTAGCATAGTTGTTTCTAAGTCAGGCTGGAAGCTGCCATTGTTCATGTATGTTAAAACTTGTATTAAAGGATGTGAAACCTTGTGTGTGACCGAGCCATGAACTTTGAATTTTAGTATATAACATTTTCTTTTACAAAGGAAGAATATGCAGACCTTTGGAATAAGAGATAGGTCATGGCATGTATTCATTGCATCTGAATGTGTGGCTTATGTTCTGGTATTTGAAATATTTCAGATAAACAACTGAGTATTATGTCCTATATTGTATCTGATAAAGCACCTATGAACCACTCTAAGAAATAAATCAATAATAGTAGATATTCTTCAGGTACTGTAAATTTATGTTATCAACATAATAGAATGACAGCATGTAATTTTCCCCTGATTCTTTATTTTCCATCACTATCTCTCCCATCACCCCACTTCTGAGATTTCTGAGGCATAGAATGAGGATATTTGTGGAGGTAGATGTCATATTTATCAAAGTTTTAAAACCACCCATTCACAAAGTGATTCTGTGCAACATATATTAGTTCTATAGCTGGGTGATGAGACAACTAGCATACTCATTTTCTCTCTCTCTTCTTTCTCCTTTCCTCCTTCACACATCATTTGTGTGTTTTTGGTAGTTAGGCTTGAATGATGGGCAACCAAATGTAAACAAATTGACTCTTAGTGTGCCAGTCCTGTCATTTTTTAAAAACTGTTTTATAGCTTATAATTAGGAACTTGGAAGCTGACATTATTTGAATTTTTTTTCCTTCAGAATCCTGGTTCTTTCTTTTGGTTGCTGGGAATTGTTAACACTGAACTAGAAATCTTTGGTTATGGTTTTAGATTGTAAGGGTCAGGCAGGAATGTGTGATTTTCAGACCATAGAAAACTGTTTTGCGATGGATAGCATAAATCTTCAAGGCTAGGAAACAAGTAGACGTAAACAAGTAAAATCAGAAAGGGGGAAGGAGATCCAGAGTTCAAGCTTTCATACCACCATATGCATATAGGATAACATTTCTCGGTGTTGTTAAATAGAGAGCATATTATAAGTGCAACTTGATATTTTTTTTACTATCTACTCATTCTGAGTCACTTCAGAATTGTGGAATCTAATCTAATTGCTATCTGGTTTGAAACCTTGATATAAATGCTCCATACTACGAGTATAGAACATGATTTGTATAGTGCTTAGACTCTTGGCTGGCTCTAGTAATTCAAGCTGGCAGCTGAACTTTTTTTGTCAGAAGGGACTATCCAAGTGTTCCTATTTGGTCCTGGAGTAACTGTGATATGCTATATTCTTTCTCAGACTCTGTAAGTTACAATGATTTCCAAATGACCTCTCCAAACATTGTTTTGATAATCTTATCAAGATGCATCCAGGTACAGCCCAGTTCAAAGTGAATGTGACAGATTTTATCAATAGGATACTTAGCGGACATCTCTCATTGGCCTGTTGCCAGATCATCCTACCTGCCCCTCCCCAACAACAAACAGGCTACCCTAATTACTGATGCCAGACAGTGTGTGAAAAATTGCAAACTTTTGCTGTTCTTATTGCTCATGGTGAAGGCCTGAACATGAGCACTTACCAGTATTAGTTCACATTCATTCCTTGTCTTTCTCCACTGAAGCCCTAGGTATCAGTTCTGTTGCATCATCTATTGTAGTCCTTTAGTAAAACAAGCAACTTCCTGGGAAAAGCACACAAAGAGAAGCTATTTGGAAATCATTACTGAGTATGTGGTGGAATAGTCACAATCCCAAACACCAGTATTCCTCCAACACAAATTAGAACAATAGGCATCCAAGGCCAGATCTACCAGGCCAGTTAGTTTCCAAATAAACTCTTTCCCTCCCACAGATGCAATTACAGGAAAGGAGACTTGCAATATTGATGTCAGACCAGACAGGAACCATGACCAGGTCTTACCAGTCTTATTCTAAGGCTACATTTGTCTATGCAATTATTTATTTATTAGATTTCCCCCCACCTTTAGTACTTTATAAGTAACTCAAGACAGTGAACATATGTATATTCCTTCCTCTTCTTATATTCTCCACAACAACAACCTTGGGAGGTGGGTTGAACTGAGAGAGAATAACTGGCTCCCTTTTTGCCACTTTTCACAACGTGAGAACAGTTGTGTTCAACTCTTTTTCACAAATTTCTATGCCTCTTGTCTCTACCCTATTATATCTTATTGTCATCTTGCTCTCCTCTCCTCTCTCTCTTTCTTTCCAGTCTCTAAATCACTCATTTCTATTCCTTCCCCTCCTTGTCACTTTGTTTCTCTGATCACCACTCTCAGGTTTTCCCCCTTGTTCCTCTTCTACCTTCTTCACACTCTGAGAACAAGAGTGACTGCAAACCATAACTTCTAGCCTAACTAATGTAAAAACAATGAATCGACAATATCTTCCTGAATCCCCAAGTGATTGCCAGTCACAAAAAGAAAAGAAAATCTACTCAGGATATCCTTGTCACTTAGGGACCTGTCCACAACCCTTGCAGCTTGACAGCCTGGTGGATGGGGGAGAGGGCCACGCAAGTGGCAGGCCAGTGCACGAACTCAACTTGTGTGAGTGGCAAAATGGTTCGTATATGCATGAGTACACCAACCCACCACTCACGCTGCCCGGTTTTGAATAGGCCATGGCCTGGTAGTGGGACATGGCCCGGGGGTTGGGGATCCCTGACCTAGCATTATATTTATTTGCTATAGTGCAAATGAGAATACACTTAAACAATTTAAGCTAAAAAAAAAGTAATTTTTCAAAAGCATAATTATTGTACACTTTGTGTTGCTTAAAATGAATAACTGGGGCATCCTTTATCAAACTAGTGCCTTTCAGATATTTTAGAATCAAAGATTTGATGCACTAATTTTAAGAAACCTGGACATGTTTGTAGCATTTCCGTAATTCAACCTGAAAGTCAAATTTGTAATTAACATTGAATATGAAAGGAGTTAATTTCTTAGAATTTGTTTGTTTATTTATTTATTTAATCAATAACTATACCTGACTCCCAACAACCCTTTGTACTGACTGAAACTTTTTTTTTCCATTTCTAATGATCTACGGTTATGTTGTATGGCCATACAGCACAGATTTTTCAGTGCTGTTTTTCTGTAAAGATTACTTTACATAAAAGTCTGGCCTCTGCCTTTGTGGCATTTCTGTTGGTATTTTGTAAGCTGTTTTGAGTTGAGGAAACAGGGACTGAGAGAAAATATATGGAAATAGAGGCAATGAGAAAACACAAAAATTCCAACTGTTTATATAATTTGTCTAAACTAATTAATGTTAATACTTGATTACTCTGGCATGTGGTCCTCTTAATGTGTTGTTTGCATTCTTACAGTATAATCACTCTATTTTTCACTGTACATGCCTGGTAAGATTTTTTTCAAGTTAAATTAATGAAAACATGCTGCTTGCGTTCACCACAATATGTATTTTTTTCATTTGAGACTTAATTTTAACTTACACTATAACTTTATTTTCTGTGCAGTTAAAAAACAGAATGAAAATTCATTCCACTAAGCAAACCTAATGAAAAAGTACAGTAATTTTATTTGTCTTGCATTTCACATAATACCATTTCTTGCTCTGTTTTCCCCCCTCAGTTTCCATTGCAAGACGTGTACAAGATCCCTTAGCTGAGCTAGTGAAAATTGAGCCCAAACATATTGGAATTGGAATGTACCAGGTAAGGCAATGTCGAGTATTTTAGTTGAAGGACTGTTGGACTAGTTGTAGGTCCAATATGATATGAAATCAGTGCTTGGTAATTGTCAGCTAGTTATATGTCTGTTTTAAAAGTTTCATGGAATAGTAATACATAATTTTTCTAGGATTAACTATGAAGGTTTAGGATTGCAGCCAGATTAATTGCCTATTAAAAACATCAAATCAAACTTCTAACTTGAGCTGCAAATCTTTCTCTCATTTATATAGGTGCAATGGTCATTTTGAATTTTTTGAATGTCATTTTGGAAAATGCTGTAAGATTCAAAGTTCAGACAACTGGCCTCTGTCCTTTTTTGCAGTTTTTTTTTGGGTAGAAGCACTTACTATACTTTGTTATTTTCATTAATTAAATGGCAAATTAATTCATTAATTAAATTTCATTAATTAAATGGAATATATATGATTGACTGCATGGCTGATCTGTACACAGAGAGAGAGAGAGATTAGATAGATAGGTGGGTGGAGGGAGGGAGGGAGAGAGAGAGAGAGAGAGAGAGAGAGAGAGAGAGAGAGATCCAGTGATTTTTGGAATTGGATGTTGAAAATTATATGTGCTATAAGTATATATGATATAAAGCCACTGAGAATTGGCTATAAGGATGGCTATATAAATGTTTTAAGTAAATAAATGCATATAGCATATATGAAAATATGTGCAAATACAATGTAGTTGATAGAATATTAAACTGAAAAAATGTTTTTTTTTTTTAAATTGCACATTTTTTTCTAAAGGATCCATGAATCTATAAACATTGAATAGGATAAGAGATAAAGAAAGGTAATAGGCAGAGAAGCAGACTGATTTTAGAAGGCTGCCTATCTCTGTGTAGCACACATTAAAAGATAATTTAAAAAAACAAACTAGAAAGATAAATTTTTCAAACATATGAAATCTGATAAGGGGCTCAATGCCCATCCTAACCCAGGGTGTACGGAAACAGAGATTTCTTGGAGATTATCAAAGTGGGAGTCATATAATCTATTGATATGTCTTACCAAGATATCAATACCAATTGTCATATTTTAAGGCAATTTTCTGTTATTTATTGCTGCACAGACTCTTAGAATTTACCATTGTGTAAATGCAAATACACACATATGCATATTAATACACACCATATGATATAAGCAAATATTTGATGAAAAATAGTTTAAATTAATGCCAAAGAATTGAGGCCTTTGATCTATGGTGCTGGAGAAGACACCTGCAAGTCCCTTGGACTGCAAAGTGATCAAACCAGTCAGTCCTAGAGATCAACCCTAACTTTTCTTTAGAAGGCCAGATCCTGAAGATGAAATTCAAATACTTTGGGCACCTAATGAGAAGGAAGGATTCATTGGAGAAGAGCCTAACACAGGAAACAATTGAGGGCAAAAGAAGAAAAGTATGATAGAGAATGAGGTGGATGGATGGAATCACCGAAGCTTAAATGGACTCCAGAGGATGGTAGAGGACAGGAAGGCCTGAAGGAATGTTGTCCATGATTAATATTAGTTAAAAATGGAAACGTAATCATTTTGAAAAATACTTAGAAGAGCTCCACCATCAAATGGACAGGGTGCTACTTTATCCCCCTCATAAATTGGATCCTGTTTGCCCACTTGCTATTTTCTAAACAAACAGAATACCAGGTTGCCTGTGACTTTTTCAGCATTATATTAAGTTTACTTGTGAGGCTGAGAGAACAGAGCTTGCTCTTGAATATGACATTGCATGTGTTATTCAGAAATGACAAAAACCATGGTAATCCTTCAGAGGAAGGGAATTACATAGTTATTACAGTAACTGATCAGAATTGTAAACAAAACACATTAAAAATAAATTAAAAGCTAGATAAAATATTACAATTAGCAGTGGGTTTATCAGTGGACAATAAATACCTAGTTGTACTTGAGCCTCAGCTGAGTATATTTTTAGTGCTGGTGAGATATGCTCTGTATTCTGGTGAAATGCAAAGATTGAATTGCAGCTGCTTTTTTTGGAGCAATTTGTATAACAATAATTTTGGTGTGTACTCTGTTTGATTCAGCTATATTTTAAAAAAATCACTTTGGCCATTTATTCTTTAGGCATGCAGTTTAGGTCTCGGGATCTTAGTTTTACTACAGTTTTTACTCTGTTCCAAAACTGGAGTAGATTCTGTTTCCAGGAAGCCATAGTTGAATGCTTTTATAACTAATACAGAGAAGATGGTCAGTATCAAGTTGATTCTCTAGATTAAATTTCTATACAAGGGTAATTAAATTCCATTGAAATTAAAGTACAATCAATCAGGGAACACCTTGAGCCAACCCAGTGGGAGAATTCATCAGGCAAATCACTATTGATAGATCCATTCAATAGATATAAAGTTTTGTAATGAACCCTGCCTGTTCTAATCCACTTTTGAATTTTTAGATTGCTGGTTTTGTAGGAGGGAATGAAACTATTTCTGAAGTATTGATGGGATTGAGTAAAAAGCATCTTATTGTTTGCCCTGCCTTTGCATTTAGATAGTATAGCCTTTATTGTCATTGTATAAAATAAATACAACAAAATTGGTTTTAGCCTCACTGGTGCAATCACATGACAACAAATACAAACAACATAAATAGTAAAAAGAACAATCCCAATGCAAGTAATTAGGTGAAAAGAAAAAGAAAGAAAAAGAAAAACTAGTCATACATTTCCATGTGTGTGTGGTGTGATTGTGGTTGTGTTTAAGAGTCTGACAGCCCAAGGATAGAAACTATTTTTAAGCCTATTTGTTCGGCTGGCTATGCTTTGATGTCTTCTGCCCAATGGTAGAAGTGCGAAGAGACACTGACCAGAGTGTGAATCATCTCTGAATATCTTCCTTACTCTGCTAAAGCAGCGAGACCTGGCGATGTCATCCAGTGGTGATAGAGGGCAGCCAATGGTTACTTGTGCAGAATTGATCACGGTACAGCCTTCCTGTCCACAGGATCACCAGAAACTATTACATATTGTAAGAAGATGAGTTATTAATCATAAGGCTACTAAGATATGCTTCAGATTTGGTACACAAGTAATAGAACATTATTAAATGTTAGCAGCACAGACATTGCATAGCACTCCAATTGGGTTTAACTGCATAAGTTTTAATTGTAGTTTACTTAAAGTTAGTATACTTAAGCCACCATCCAAGAGCTGCTAAAAGTGAGAACGACTTCCCTCCCTGCTTGTAAATCAGCTGTTTTCTTGCCAGGTGTCTTGTGCATAATAATATCAATATCAGAAGAATCTATTTCAGAGATAGCATAAGGCCCAAAGCCAGACTTCTCTCTGTAAGTAGTAGTTAATAGCTTGGATAAGAGTTCTTCTCCTTTGTCAGTTTGATCTTCAGCATCTCCATCTAGCTGCCTTAGTAATTTAAAAGTAGTTTCAGTGGAATACAATTGGAGAGCTACACTATGGGAGGTATTGGTGTTGAAAAACATGTCTAGATCCCATGAAGGCAATAAATTAGCTTTTTTTTCAAGTTCTGGGTAGATTCTGTCATTGAAGTAACACTTTGTCAAGCTGCAGATTGTCAGGATTAGACATTAAAAGTTCTCCATTGGTGGTCAGTGTACCCAGGCTTTTTGTGGTTGTGGCAGCATTAGCAATTTGTTGATTGACAGTCCTGAATACATGATAGGATAAAATTAATTAATGGTTTTGTTATAGAAACTGTTGTCACCAATGTTTCTGTTAATTTATCCAATCTCTGTGTGATATCTGCTTGCTCTGAATCTGGCAGTGTACCAAATTAGTCAATCATCTTTTCTTCCAGTGAGTCCTTGGCAGACTCTCTAGCTGTAGATAATGCAGTCTGTTGATTTGAGCTCTTCTTTATTAAGGTCACTGCTAGTGAAAGATCCCTGAAATTATATGAATTCAAATTGTTAGATTTAAAGTGGCAATATCCTTTTGGGAAAACTGATCCAAAATTGGGCTAGCATGTACTGGGAATATTGAGAAGGTGCTCAAGAAGGGCTTTATGTTAAAAAGCATGTTGTGGATTTTAAATTGCTCAAATGTGAGCAGAAATCTCATGCGCTCTCTTTTATATGGCAGCCATTGGGGTGTAGTAGATCTGTCAAAGAGCAGCTGTGTCAGTCAAGGCTAGAATATCTACCTTTTTGAAGTCCTTATCACCTCTATTTACTGTATTGGAAATCTGCAGAGTGGTCTGATTAGTCTATAAGTGATAATTGCACTTATTTCATCTCTGCCTTTTTTGACTTGAGATTTAATCCCTTCTCAGGTATTTCTTTCTGTCCTAGTATATTCAGAAGTGGAGTTAGCTCTAAATTCCCATTAGCTGCTTGTTGCCATGAGCAGCAGGTGTCTTTACAGCTTCTGCTGCTTTATTTGGGTGACTGTGAGTATACTTTACAAAGGACTCTTCTACTAGTCTTATTTTTGACTGAAGTCAAAGGTTCAAAGATTATGATGACAGTTTGTGTTCTGATCAGGCATTGCCATCAACAGTTATGAACTGTTACATTTCCCCTTTTTAAGTTCATATCATTGCTTACATATAAGCAATGCAGCTGCTGAACAAACAGCAGCAATCTGGGTAGGGGAGAGTACGCTCCACCAGTGAAGAAGAAAATTTTCTAGCAGATATTTCATTACCCTAACTAGGTAACATCATCAGCGCTGGTAGGAGAGTGACTTACCCTCAATTTATATTCTAGTGGTTTGTCTGTCCTGTCAGTACTTTGAAGTTCTATATGGCCAAACATGGACTGTAAATTAATAAAGAATTTAATGTAGAAACTGAGCATTTGATGGGTCAGAAAGATGAATATTTGGTCTCTGTTCAATATCAGCATCTACCATCTATGTTAGTTAGTAGATACTGATTTTGTGTTAGGAGATTCACGATCTTACAAGAATAGATGAATCAAAAAATGATAGGAAGAATCTTTCTACTCCTGATGGTTGCTCTAATGTTGATGAGAAACTCT